TGTATATATGTGTATATATATATACTGTTTTAATCATGAAACATATGTACGCAAAACAGTTGCTTGATTTTAAGTCTGATATATAATGATTTACATTAATCAGGTGTTAATTTATTAACTATTCTGACCAATTAAATTAAGCAGTGCAAAAATCTGATCTCCACATACATACAGTAAAAAGGTGAAAATGTTCACTTTCGAGCCCCATTTTAACTGTAGTTATACAAGATTAAAGCAGTCTGCAGAGTTTAACTTTCAGTTCTGAGCAGAGCATGTGAGCGGTGCGGAGCGTGAGTGGAGTGGTAATATTTCCTTAAGAGCGCAGAGCGCCTTTCTGAAGATTCCGCTCCGCTCGCTCAACCCAGAATGCCGTTTGGTGATTTGCTTGTTCGAGATCGAGAATCTGTAGAGATTGAGAATAGTAGAGCAGTTATGGAGTTCAGATATTGTTTCAACGAAGTTGCAAGCCTTATACATAAATGTAAAGTAAAAATCAAAGTTAAGAATGAGCAGGGAGAAGAAACTGAGAGGGAGTGCGGGGAGACTGTTAAAGTTAGTACAGATTCATATTGATTACAGAGAGCACGAAGATGTGCTACGCAAACATGGTGCAGCAAAAGGTGAGCTAGTTACATACCATAATAAATGAATAAACAGGTAGGCTAAGGTTATATTCGGTTGTACGGAGCCCCGATCATGACATGCAGACAAAATCACGGCCACGAATTTAGAATAGGCTAGTTCTCTTTTATGTTAGGACTACATTATGGCCACGAATTAAGAATTAATTTTTTCGTTTAGTCTAAATTATGGCCACGAATTAAGTATTCGTTCTCTTGTTTAGACTTAGCTGGCACGAATTCATTCGTTCGTTAATTCGTTCATTCCCTAGTTTTAGTAGGCCTAAATCGTGGAATGAATTATTATATTTCGTAATTACTTATTAAAATCATTATTGCTTAAAATTAATAAATAATAATAAATTAATAAAAAAAATAATAAAACCTGCTGACGTCGTAGAAACGAATTGTTAATTCAAATTATATTCGGAGCTCTGTAGTTATTAAATAATCTCAGTTAAACTGTAGACCTAAGCTAACACACAGCTGTATATAGGCCTACATACAGAACTACAGAGTACAGAAGATATTAGCCTACACCACTTAGGCCTATTAAAATATTATTTAAAAAAAAACTGACCCGAACCAATAGGTAGTCCTACAGAATGTAGGCTAGATATAGGCAGCAGTAATTTATAATCTAATATAATGCACGCAAATTTGTTCTTTACAGAACGGAGCGGGATCTGAGCGGGAATTGGTTTACGGCGAGCGTGAGCGGAATATTAACGGAGCGCTTGCTTGGGCGGTTAGAGCGACTGAGTGGAGCGCACGTCCATAGCGCGGAAAACGTAGCGGAGCGTCACACCGCTCCGCTTCGCTCACATGCTCTGGTCATAACATAGTTATTTCATAATAAATAATGGTAAAAATAAAAGAGTAAATGTGACATTTATTAATGGTGTTGTGTGATGAATGTCTGATGATTGAAGTGTTTTCAAATTAAGTGAAGTGTAAATTGAAGTTTTTTGTAATGATGAACAACAAACATTAAAAATAATATAAGTAAATAATGACAAATGGCTATAATTACTAATTTTTCCCTCAAAAATAGAAAAAATAAATACATTTAATAGTTATTTGCGTCATTGATAGTAGTTGGTATCAGATCTAAAAGCAAATTTGTGATATCCATCCTTATTCTGTATTAGCATAAAATTGGGACAAGAAATTATGATGATAAGTGCAGAAAATAAAACCCATCCAACATATAATCCATAATAATAAAAAAATGTGAAATATGAATATGAGGCCTGTTTTAGTATAATTCAAGTAATGTACAAAAGAAAAGAAGAAAGTTAGAAATTGCAACCATACAAACAGACCACATGGATCCACATGTAAAAACACTTTGGATCTTTCAAAGGGAAGAGTTGCTGGTTATATTCTTATTATGTGTCTCTAAAACATTCAAAAAACTAAATCTTTGTGTGAAGACTTACTAAATCAACACTAGAAAGTTGAAGCAGTTTGACTGTATTGGTCCAAGCAAATTAA